CCCTCTAGTGCATCTTAGCTACACTGAAACAAGGACACCCTCTAGTGCATCTTAGCTACACTGAAACAAGGATGCCCTCTAGTGCATCTTAGCTACACTGAAACAAGGATGCCCTCTAGTGCATCTAAGCTACATTGAAACAAGGACACCCTCTAGTGCATCTTAGCTACACTGAAACAAGGACGCCCTGTAGTGCATCTTAGCTACACTGACACAAGGACGCCCTCTAGTGCATCTTAGTTACACTGACACAAGGACACTCTCCAGTACACCTTACCCACACTGAAAGAAGGACATCCTGCTTGGTTGCCCTAGAGTAATTATTAATATTTGCACCTGCAAGAACATGTCACTGGATTGACGTCATACCTCACCACATGTCAGTTCTAGTTTTCCTATTTCAAAGGAACAGTATAATACATAATTTAAACCACCTCTTTAATGAATGATATCCCTTTTCTGTCTTGTCAATGTCACTTTCACTCAATTTATTCAATTGTACCTGGTATTCAAAAGACTTCAGGGTAAACTTGAAAGGTAAAAAACTATTTAAAGGTAGTTTTTATTGTGAAGGAATTCTGAGTGTGTAATAATATTATCCTGAACAACTTCTAGACATGCAAGTCATATTTGACTCAGTTCATACAGAGCTGTGGAGCTACTCAATAAATATATGCGGTTGAGCAGTTAAATTTCAAAACATAACCAATCGCTCAGACAGGTAGATAACGTACCTGTATGCAGATTAAAGTATACAGTAATATGCACAGGCTGTCACAGTGACCCAGTGACTGTAAAACGTATGCTGGCAATCCCATAACACACATGGAATCATTCTTGTAAACCTTTGTGTATCATAAACGGTCTGTTCCAAAACTTGTTTTTGGAGGTAAGCAATTTTGAATGAATGGATGTTTGAAAACAATACTTACAATGTAACTAGACCAGAGTATGTATAAGTGTTATCAACAATCATTAGTTGGCAAGGAACAAGAATTCACTGACACAGGAACACTATTTAGTGTGTGTAATCTACACAGAAACAAGGGCGTTGAATCTACACTGAAACAAGGGCGTCCTTCAGTTTGTACAAGCGACACTGAAACGAGGGTACCCTTCAGTTTGTACAAGCTACACTGAAACAAGGGCATCCTTCAGTTGTACAAGCTACACTAAAACAAGGGTGTCCTTCAGTTGTTCAAGCTATGCTAAAACAAGGGTGTCCTTCAGTTGTACAAGCTACACTAAAACAAGGGTGTCCTTCAGTTGTACAAGCTACACTAAAACAAGGGTGTCCTTCAGTTGTACAAGCTACACTGAAACAAGGGTGTCCTTCAGTTGTTCAAGCTACACTAAAACAAGGGTGTCCTTCAGTTGTACAAGCTACACTGAAACAAGGGTGTCCTTCCATGTGTCCATGTACAAAGGCATTGATCGTTTTTTATTGAAATGAAATTATTTTTCTCCGTAATAACTTAATCAAGACAAAGTTTCTGCCAAGCTGTTTTTTTTTTAAATCAAAGTATGAGACTGTGTTTAGGACCTTTGAATTAATGGTTTATAATTTGTATTTGAATATATTTTTAGACATTTTTAAACAGTTTGTCATTGATATGTTTGCATGTGTTATCATGTGAACTCGAGTGTGCACCAAATGAGACCCAACACGATAACACTTATGCGACAGTATTTTTCCATATCCAATGTGAAGGTTTATTACACCTATATACATTGCTGATGTAGATAAGTGGCCTAAAAAATATAAACATCTCCGTAAATGTTAAAATTATATGCAAAAATCTAATCTTAAAATCCTTCACCACCGAGAAGTGAAAATATATGCCCCTACAACCAAGAAGTGAATTTTGAGAATACTTTTTCCAAAAGAAAGGAATTTGACGATCCAATACAACATACAACCCAGAAGTAATTTTAGAGATCCCAGAAGTAATTCTAGAGATCCCATACATCCAAGTACTGATTAATATATCCCTTGCAACAAAGAAGTGAATTCAGAGATCCCATACATCCAAGTACTGATTAATAGATCCCTTACAACAAAGAAGTGAATTTAGAGATCCCTTACAACAAAGAAGTGAATTTAGAGATCCCTTACAACAAAGAAGTGAGTTTAGAGATCCCTTACAACAAAGAAGTGAATTTAGAGATCCCTTACAACCAAGAAGTGAATTTAGAGATCCCTTACAACAAAGCAGTGAATTTAGAGATCCCATACATCCAAGTACTGATTAATAGATCCCTCACAACAAAGAAGTGAATTTAGAGATCCCTTACAACAAAGAAGTGAATTTAGAGATCCCTTACAACAATGAAGTAAATTAATAGATCCCTTACAACAAAGAAGTGAATTTAGAGATCCCTTACAACAAAGAAGTAAATTTAGAGATCCCTTACAACAAAGAAGTTAATTAATAGATCCCTTACAACAAAGAAGTGAATTTGGAGATCCCTTACAACCAAGAAGTGAATTTAGAGATCCCTTACAACAAAGAAGTGAATTAATAGATCCCTTACAACAAAGAAGTGAATTTAGAGATACCTTACAACCAAGAAGTGAATTTAGAGATCCCTTACAACAAAGAAGTGAATTTAAAAATCCCTTACAACAAAGAAGTGAATTTAGAGATCCCATACATCCAAGTACTAATTAATAGATCCCTTACAACAAAGAAGTGAATTTAGAGATACCTTACAACCAAGAAGTGAATTTAGAGATCCCTTACAACAAAGAAGTGAATTTAGAGATCCCTTACAACAAAGAAGTAAATTTAGAGATCCCTTGCAACAAAGAAGTGAATTTAGAGATCCCTTACAACAAAGAAGTAAATTTAGAGATCCCTTGCAACAAAGAAGTGAATTTAGAGATCCCTTACAACAAAGAAGTAAATTTAGAGATCCCTTGCAACAAAGAAGTGAATTTAGAGATCCCTTACAACAAAGAAGTAAATTTAGAGATCCCTTGCAACAAAGAAGTGAATTTAGAGATCCCTTACAACCAAGAAGTGAATTTAGAGATCCCTTGCAACCAAGAAGTGAATTTAGAGATCCCTTACAACAAAGAAGTGAATTAATAGATCCCTTACAACAAAGAAGTGAATTTAGAGACCCCTTACAACAAAGAAGTGAATTAAGAGATCCCTTACAACCAGAATTGAACTGAGAGTTCTCTAATACAACCAAGAAAAAGATTTAGAAATTATTTAAAATCAAGAACCTAATCTAGAGTTCCATTTACACCAAAAACAGAACTGAGAGCTCTGTTACAACCAAAAAGTGAATTTAGAAATTTCCCACAACCAAAAAGTTAATTAGGAGATCCTTTAAAACCAAGAAATTAATTTCTAATGTCCTTACTCCCAGGAATTCCTTACACCCAAGAAGGAAATCAGGGATTTTTTGAAACCAGGATCAACAAAATGAATTTAAAGATTCCTTGCAAGAGACGGAGACATTTGTCAGCACTGGAAGACCAAAGTTTCACCATGTATATTATCAGTGTAATTAAATTAGGGGTCCTCTTAGTCTGAAATAGCAGAAAAGGTTACTTTAAAAATCCTAGGTAGGCAAATAGAATTTTAGTCCTATGAATGATGTGTATACAAATACAACAATGCTATCAGAATGTACTTCATCAATAGTGACCATTATAAATGGGACTCACATACTTCAGGCCTTTTCAAATATCTATTCACATAATCTTCCTGTGATGGAAAAATTTTGACATTACGAATCAATAATGAGGTAACAAGAAATATCTCAATTCTGATTGGTTCGTGGTTTTATGACGATGACTTGTAAATAAGGATAAGATGTGTCCGTTATCTGGGTAAAGTGATTTATATAATCCAGTAGCATTACTCTGATCATGTCTAGTATTGTCATTTGTTGTTTAACCCATTCACCCCTAAAGTCACATTTGAACCTTACCAAATCTAAGACTGGGCAAGTTTAGTTTAAATATGTAGGGGTTAATGAGTTAAAAGGATGCAAACATTTTCTCAATTCTTATTAGAAAATAGTTTTCACATAAGTTTCAATTCAAGGATTTGAAATTGAAAAGTTTCAAAGCAGGGGACATATTTTTATCATAGAACCAGGTGTCTGTGTATGTTTATACTACTTTTACAGTTTGTACCCACTTCCTAGTCACCTTAACCTTAAACAAAAACTTCCATTACCATTATACAATAGTGCAGTTATAAGTGACCTTTGACCTATATAGCTAGTGACCCTTGACCCCTGTCCTCTGATATTTGTGCAGCTGTGCACCGTAACGACATCAGGGATGCAGGGGGCAGTCTGCACTCAGCTTCTCTAAAACACCAACAAATATTTATTCATGAACTCTTAACCTTTGACATACTGAAAGTTAAAACATTGTAAGGCTGTGACCTTTGACCTCTAAATACTACTGTCAGAGTATGCAACATAGAAATTGTTTTTGTTCTGTTTGCCTCTACCTCATACCAGCATACATGAATATGTTTTTGGATCATGATAATCATGACTTTTGATTTTTAAAAAGATCTGTAATTCTGTAGTTGTTTTTCGAGTAGTAATGAAATATCTGGAGAAAGTGATGTAGTTGATCCTGCATTGGTTATAGAGAATTGTTGTTGTTGACCTTTCAGGAGAAACTATTTATTTTTTCTTCATTCCGAGATGTTTTTTGTCTTTGCAGATTTTCGAACAGATTGACTTTAACAAACAGCACAAGAAAACCAGCGTCAAGCCATTCAACTTTGCCTGTATCCTTAAATTCTCCAAATCCCAGTTGATGGAAAGGTCCTTCAAGGTAGCCTCCTAATTCATCAAAATCAATTAAAATTTTCAAAAATATTTAAAGTCACTTATTCACAGCTTTTGTTTGAATGTTCACGTTCAGTTTATCTCTTTTCATAATTAATTAAATAATTATTCATATCTTTTAAAAATATGAGTATTACCAGGGTGATTTTGTCTTGTTATTTCCCAAGATTTTGTGGTAAACGTGGAATTTTTCAGTGTATGGTAATATCATGTTTATTACATTGAGTGAATAAGCTAAAACATTTCAACAGGCACAGGATTATATAGATTATACTTTGAATACTCCAACACCTTTATCAAAAACCACAATGTGAACATTTCCACACCTTTATCAAAAACCACAATGTGAACATTTCCACACCTTCAGCAAAAACCACAATGTGAACATTTCCACACCTTTATCAGAAACCACAATGTGAACATTTCCACACCTTTATCAGAAACCACAATGTGAACATTTCCACACCTTTATCAGAAACCACAATGTGAACATTTCCACACCTTTATCAGAAACCACAATGTGAACATTTCCACACCTTCAGCAAAAACCACAATGTGAACATTTCCACACCTTTATCAGAAACCACAATGTGAACATTTCCACACCTTTATCAGAAACCACAATGTGAACATTTCCACACCTTCATCGAAAACCACAATGTGAACATTTCCACTCCTTTATCAAAAACCACAATGTGAACATTTCCACACCTTTATCAGAAACCACAATGTGAACATTTCCACACCTTTATCAGAAACCACAATGTGAACATTTCCACACCTTTATCAAAAAACACAATGTGAACATTTTCACACATTTATCAAAAACCACAAAGTGAACATTTCCACAACTTCATCGAAAACCACAATGTGAACATTTCCACACCTTCATCAAAAACCACAATGTGCACATTTCCACACCTTCATCAAAAATCACAATGTGAACAGTCCCACACCTTCATCGAAAACCACAATGTGAACATTCCCACAACTTCATCGAAAACCACAATGTGAACATTTCCACTCCTTCAACGAAAACCACAATGTGAACATTTCCACTCCTTCATCGAAAACCACAATGTGAACATTCCCACAACTTCATCGAAAACCACAATGTGAACATTTCCACTCCTTCATCGAAAACCACAATGTGAACATTCCCACAACTTCATCGAAAACCACAATGTGAACATTTCCACTCCTTCATCGAAAACCACAATGTGAACATTTCCACTCCTTCAACGAAAACCACAATGTGAACATTTCCACTCCTTCATCGAAAACCACAATGTGAACATTTCCACTCCTTCAACGAAAACCACAATGTGAACATTTCCACTCCTTTATCAAAAACCACAATGTGAACATTTTCACACCTTTATCAAAAACCACAATGTGAACATTTTCACACATTTATCAAAAACCACAAAGTGAACATTTCCACAACTTCATCGAAAACCACAATGTGAACATTTCCACTCCTTCAACGAAAACCACAATGTGAACATTTCCACTCCTTCATCGAAAACCACAATGTGAACATTTCCACACCTTTATCAAAAACCACAATGTGAACATTTTCACACATTTATCAAAAACCACAATGTGAACATTTCCACACCTTCATCGAAAACCACAATGTGAACATTTCCACACCTTCATCGAAAATCACAATGTGAACATTCCCACACCTTCATCAAAAATCACACTGTGAACATTCCAACACCATCATCAAAAACCACAATGTGAACATTTCCACACCTTCATCAAGAATCACAATGTGAACATTCCAACACCTTCATCAAAAACCACAATGTGAACATTCCCACACCTTCATCGAAAACCACAATGTGAACATTCCCACACCTTCATCAAAAATCACAATGCGAACATTTCCACACACAAAATTGTCACTTTTTCAGTATCCTAAATGCAACAGCAAACCTCTTGAGGACGCCCGGCGTGAACAATTACATGTTCGTTTTCTTTACACACTGAATGTTTTGTTATTTTGGGGTTCTGTAGGACGGATTGGTTGATCAGCTATACGAATTACTCCTGGACCAGCTAAATGTCCACCAGAGTTCCGTGGGGTTCCCTGAGCTCGCGTTACCGGCCATTCTACAGGTAAGAGTTCCATAGGGTTCCCTGAGCTCGCGTTACCGTCCATTCTACAGGTAAGTGTTCCGTGGGGTTTCCTGAGCTCTCGTTACCGGCCATTCTACAGGTAAGTGTTCCCTGGGGTTCCCTGAGCTCGCCTTACCGGCCATTCTACAGGTAAGTGTTCCGTGGGGTTCCCTGAGCTCGCCTTACCAGCCATTCTACAGGTAAGTGTTCCGTGGGGTTCCCTGAGCTCGCGTTACCGGCCATTCTACAGGTAAGTGTTCCGTGGGGTTCCCTGAGCTCGCGTTACCGGCCATTCTACAGGTAAGTGTTCCGTGGGGTTCCCTGAGCTCGCCTTACCGGCCATTCTACAGGTAAGTGTTCCGTGGGGTTCCCTGAGCTCGCGTTACCGGCCATTCTACAGGTAAGTGTTCCGTGGGGTTCCCTGAGCTCGCCTTACCGGCCATTCTACAGGTAAGTGTTCCGTGGGGTTCCCTGAGCTCGCGTTACCGGCCATTCTACAGGTAAGTGTTCCGTGGGGTTCCCTGAGCTCGCCTTACCGGCCATTCTACAGGTAAGTGTTCCGTGGGGTTCCCTGAGCTCGCGTTACCGGCCATTCTACAGGTAAGTGTTCCGTGGGGTTCCCTGAGCTCGCCTTACCGGCCATTCTACAGGTAAGTGTTCCGTGGGGTTCCCTGAGCTCGCGTTACCGGCCATTCTACAGGTAAGTGTTCCGTGGGGTTCCCTGAGCTCGCCTTACCGGCCATTCTACAGGTAAGTGTTCCGTGGGGTTCCCTGAGCTCGCGTTACCGGCCATTCTACAGGTAAGTGTTCCGTGGGGTTCCCTGAGCTCGCCTTACCGGCCATTCTACAGGTAAGTGTTCCGTGGGGTTCCCTGAGCTCGCGTTACCGGCCATTCTACAGGTAAGTGTTCCGTGGGGTTCCCTGAGCTCGCCTTACCGGCCATTCTACAGGTAAGTGTTCCGTGGGGTTCCCTGAGCTCGCGTTACCGGCCATTCTACAGGTAAGTGTTCCGTGGGGTTCCCTGAGCTCGCCTTACCGGCCATTCTACAGGTAAGTGTTCCGTGGGGTTCCCTGAGCTCGCGTTACCGGCCATTCTACAGGTAAGTGTTCCGTGGGGTTCCCTGAGCTCGCCTTACCGGCCATTCTACAGGTAAGTGTTCCGTGGGGTTCCCTGAGCTCGCGTTACCGGCCATTCTACAGGTAAGTGTTCCGTGGGGTTCCCTGAGCTCGCCTTACCGGCCATTCTACAGATAAGAGTTCTGTGGGGTTCCCTGAGGTCATATTACCGGCCATTCTACAGGTAAGTGTTCCGTGGGGTTCCCTGAGCTCGCCTTACCGGCCATTCTACAGGTAAGTGTTCCATGGGGTTCCCTGAGCTCGCGTTACCGGCCATTCTACAGGTAAGTGTTCCGTGGGGTTCCCTGAGCTCGCCTTACCGGCCATTCTACAGGTAAGTGTTCCGTGGGGTTCCCTGAGCTCGCGTTACCAGCCATTCTACAGGTAAGTGTTCCTTGGGGTTCCCTTAGCTCCCGTTACCAGCCATTCTACAGGTAAGTGTTCCGTGGGGTTCCCTGAGCTCGCCTTACCGGCCATTCTACAGGTAAGTGTTCCGTGGGGTTCCCTGAGCTCGTGTTACCAGCCATTCTACAAGTAATTCTCTTACTAAATATGTTAATACACCAATAGGAATCATACATCAGAAATGATGGAAAGAAGATTGCAATGTTGATAAGATTCACAAAAGATCTTAATGACAGTATTGACCACTAAAACTATCAGCTTTTATTTATGGAGGCACCTTATAAATTATTATTTTTTGGTTTTGTCTCAAAGAATCAAGAACTGCAAAATACAAAAATAACTGAATATTTTGGAAACAATATACAGGGTTTTGTTCATAGTGAAATACACTACTTTGGTGGTCAAGATTGAATGTACCTTTTAGAAGGAATTTTGTCGTTTTTTCTTGCAGCTGAAGGACTTTCTGAAGAAATGCAAGGTGGCTAACTACTGCAAACAGGTTCGTCAGATCCTGGATAAGGTGGAAGAGAATTCCAAATTTGTCACCAATCGACGCAAGAGCTTCAATGTTAATCTTGCTGACACCAAAACCATTGTGAGTGCATTTTGATAATTAATACTGAAGAATATAGTTATTAAACATTCTGTGTCACTTCTTTTGCCTTTTTACATTTGTCAATTCTTTTGTTGACACAAAGTTTCACAATCTGTGAGTACATTTGAATTCAGTTGACCAATTAATATATTCCAAGACCTTGTATTTGATATTATTTCGAACCTTAGAAAAATAAATTTGTTGCTTTAAGCGTGTTTTTACCATAATTTTGTCGTGACTATTTACCTTTTGAAACCAAATGAAGTTCACAATCTTGTGAATTGTTCAAATTTAAACAATACCAACAGACACTCTATTTCCAAGCTCCAGGCCTTTGTCCTTTAACAGGGAGTGAATCTCACCTCAGTGTCTGACCTACAGATATATTTAGTTCTTACGGTCATCTATAAATGTGTGTTTTAACAGGGAGCTTGGGAGAAAAAATGTGAAGAGGCTGGAACTCCACTGGGAAAATACTACAAGACCTGGAGAAAGCTGAGAGACCGTGAACTCCAGCACGTGATTTCAGCCAAAGAACAGGTACATAGAAGACTGAATAGGTGTTAAAAAGGATTGTACAGCAATCTTTTCAATTTGCGTTCATACCGGCATGAACATTGAACAAATACTGTTCAATCCTTCTATTTACATTCTAAATATTTAGTTGTTATTGACCTAAATACAGATATTCCCTTAATTTTTTTTATCAAAGTGTCTGTGTCGTCAGCACAAACAAGATTCCTGGAATAGCCTAACATCACCAGAATGTTTGATTCTAACAGTTGTCTCATGTTAATCAAGGCCAGAAGAGAAGCTTCAAAATGATACTGATCAAATTGCTTTTATAGCTCTATGAATGCAATTTCTGCTGGTAATGCACGCTTATAGAGAAACTTGCAGTGGGAATAGGACAAACTAACTAATGTCAGGACAAAGTCACAGCAAGATTATAACCTCCAATGGCATGGTAAAGTCCTGGCATACGTGACAGGTTATGATAAAGTAGAGAAGACAGGAAAAGTATAGCCCCAGATGAAGTCACTGCCAGCGTTAGATTGTTTTCTATGTAAAGGTACAGTAAGTGGAGCTAGAGCCAAGTTCTAGAGAGTGTAAAATCGTGTAAGGATGTCAACATTTGATATAGCCAACCTGGTGGTGAGGTGTAAAAGTCCTTCATAATTAAGACATGCCAAGTACATTTTACACATTCAAACGCTTCACACTTTTGAGGTAGGATATAACAGTACATAACAGTGCCTACTGTTGGTGTACAGGTACTGTTGGTTCTTTTTATTGTTTTATCCACCAAATATAGATATTGTGTATCAATGATTTCAGATCACGGATGTGGACGATGGAATACCATTGATAGTGAGACCCAAGGGCCCACAGAGGGCTACAGAGGACGACAAGAAGGACTTTGCTGCGCTATTCGACACAGACAGTGATGAATCTGACGACGAGATGAGATTTCTCCCAAAAGCTGCAAAGTCTAAAAAGGCTGGTTCAGAAAGCGATGACTACAGGTAAAAACATTAGAACATAATGTCATAATCAGATTGCTACTTGGTCAACTTTCATAAAAAAAGAATATTAGTCCAGAACGGCACAATAGATTTTAACCAAATTTATGTAAAGCATGTACGTGTGGAACAAACACACAAAAATGTCTATATACTGTCATGCCTATTCAAGTTTCTGATATTCGTAAATTCCAAATGAGGAAAACAGGGGTCCTGAAACCCTCCCAGAAATAGTTTTCTACCACTGAACCACAAATGTTTGCTCCCATTGTATTTGCTGTTGAAAAAGGTGGTGAGCACATCACAGTAAAACTTTTGAGAATAACATCTAATGACGTCGTAATAAACCAATGAGAGGGCATGCAGACACTACACAGGGAGATTGATTGTAAAGGCAGAGATTGAAAATTAGCAGCCTAAAAATAGTATGACTGATAGAAATACTAAATTTTGTATCCACTCTGTTTACAATGGATGATCTGGGTTTTATTTGACAGTGACTTTGATAGTGATGAACTGGAACAGTTGGCTCAATCAGCAGATGAGGACGGCGATGACAGTGATGAAGAAGATGAACCAGAGGCTGATGAAGACAGTGACATTAACGGCGCCGATGAGGACGATGAAGATATCCCAGATGTGGATGATGTTGTCGAAGACTTTGAAATGTCAGACTCGGATTAAAATACTATGAATATTAATAAAAACATCTATTTTATAAACATCAACAAATTTGTCTGTTTTGTTTTCTGTTTAGCTCCCTGTAATGAAATATGAGTGGTGTATTGGAATATTGTAGCCAGTCTCTCTGTTCCTCCATCAGGGGGCCGCGGTGGCCAAGTGGTTAAGGCGTCTGACATTCTGCTTCCACTAGCCCTCCACCACTATGTTGCGAGTTTGAGGCCTTCTTGGGGCAGTCAACAGGTACGGGTCGTAGGTCGGTGGTTTTTCTCTGGGAACTCTGGCTTTCCTCCACCACCAAAAACTGGCACGTCCTTAAATGACCATAGCTGTTAATAGGATGTAAAACACAAACAAACTAAACCAAACTTCTATCAGTTTGTCTATTCATCTGGCTGTCAGTAATCAGATTATTACTTCCCACTCTACCTGCTTTCATTATAATTTTATAAAAGCATGAGGCTCTAAACTTGTGCACCTTTTGCTTACTGTTTTACAAGGTTGGGTGGGGGGGTGATATATATTTGTGGAAGTGATGCCGCTTTTTGCAAATTATAAGTGTTTTGTCTGTGTAATTTTTTTACTCCGTCGTCCGTCCGTCCACTTTTTAAACAACTTCTCCTGAAGAACTGGAGGACCTAGGGTCAAGATATTTGGCCAGTAGGTACCTGGGATGGAGTGCTATAAAGTTTCCACTTTAAAATGACCTTGACCTACTTTCAAGGTCACGGGGGTCAAATATGTTCAATAATTCAAACAACAATATCCTAAGAACCATTTGGTCTAGAGTCATGATACTTAGTAATGTTTTGTAGACCAGCAGTGCAAATCTTTTTCTCAATTACAGTCAAAGGTCAACTTTAAGTGCTAGTCAGGGGTCAAATGTCAACATGGGTTAAAAGCTTTAACAATCTTCTTCTCAAGTTCCATAAGGCCCAGGGTCATGATATTTGGCCAGTAGGTACATGGATGGAGTGCTATAAAGTTGCCTCATTTAAAAAACCTTGACCTAGTTTCAAAGTCACAGGGGTCAAATATGTTAAAACTTAAAACAACAATATCCTAAGAACCATTTGGACTAGAGCCATGATACATGGCTATGTTATGTAAACCAGCAGTGCAAATCTTTTTCTTATTCATAGTAATGAGGTCTAAGGTCAACTTTAAGTGCTAGTTGGGGGGTCAAAAGTCAACATGGGTTAAAAGCTTTAACGACCTTCTTCTCAAGTGCCATAAGGCCCATGTTCATGATATTTGGCCAGTAGGTACCAGGGATAGAGTGCTATAAAGTTTCCTACTTCAAATGACGATAACCTAAGAAGCATTTGGTCTAGAGTCATGATACTTGAGTATGTTATGTAGACCAGCAGTGCGAATCTTTTTCTTAATTACAGTAATGAGGTCAAATGTCAACTTTAAGTGATAGCCGGAGTCAAATGTCAACGTGTGTTAAAAGCTTTAAAATTACAATTTCAAATTTCAAACAACAATATCTTGAGAAGCGTTTAACAGATGTTAAAATGTCTTTATGTGCTAGTTACCAAATTTGGTCTGAAGTTACCTATATATGTCAGTTTCATGTAACAAAAGAAACAGGTGTGCGATACAGGCCCTCTGGGCCTGTTGTTCCTGAAGTTTTCGCCCAAATTTTGTGAAAAATTGCAGACATATTCCATACAATCTTAAGTTGTACACCTGCACTTCAATAAAAAAAAAGTCTGATTTTAATGGGAGTTATGCCCCTTTTCCAAATTTCTAAGCTATTCCAATATATGACAGTTGTTTCATATATTGTCAGCACTTGATATAAATGTACATATTTAGCAATTTATTTTATTTTATTAAACTCTGATTTTCTCCTACATTACCAGGTAAGACCCACTGCACACTTTCATCTGGGTTAACAAGGGTGATTAATATAAGTTTGAAAAACTTCTTTCGTAACTGTTGTTAAATAAATGAAGTTTATGTTTAAGCTGATCAAGTAAAATACCTTTTTAAGCAACTTTTGGCTTGTAAATTTAACTCTTCCTAACAGTTCATTTGTGAAATAAAATGAAAGAAGATTATCCTCATTGTGAAGCTATTGAATTTAGTTGTCATTATTAACAAAAAGGTCAGGATTTGCTGCTTTAACAGCTTAATAGACAAACTACGATTGTTTTGTGTGCAAACACTCCAGGGATGGGTACTAAATAACTTAACACACATCCTACTCCCTCTGTAACTTGGTCACAGGGGGATTAAGGTACTGCCACCCACTCACCTGGCCATTGTACCTGGAGATTTACGACCAGGTAAGTCGTACAGGTAGTCCAGTCTGTGTCACCCTGTACCTTACACTTCACCCCTTGGGGCACCAACAACCTTTAAAGCTTTGTCAGGCTAAACTAAAAAATATTTAAACAATATTTTTGTTGACTTGATTGTATACAAACCTAAAATCAGATAAGTTTTTCTCTAAGCTCTTGAATTTAAGCAAATGTTGCAGCTAGACTTTTGTTACACATGTACAACTTTCGATCATTACATGTAAATATCAAGCATGTTGGACGTCGAGGTGCTGCACTAAGCTCCAAGGCTCCATTCATAAATCATCGTGTACCTTAACAAATTTAAATAGGTAGACCACTGCATAACTCTACTCTAGGTTTTCATAAAATTAACAAACAGGAAAAACCAGTAGTAACCTTGAGTGTTACTTGGAAAAACTGTCCGGTTGTGTTACCCTACAAACATTGTACGGTTCAAAGATCGTCGCGATAATACACTGGGTACCTTGGTGTTCTTTATTTCTTCAAATACTTCAAATTCAAATACAAAGATTTGAATTTCTTACCTGGTGGGGAGTGGCTGGTTAAACAGAATTGTAGGCCTGTAGTATCATTGACCGACTTTGTAAAAAGGCATTTGAATCGATGTTCAAAACATTCTCGAAAGGCGTGTATACCCAAGATAGTAGACAAACAGGTTATGATATAAAGATGGCTAGTACGTTGTACTGGAGATATGATATTGTTAAGTCAAGCTACACTAGTTTAATGACCGTTTGATTCCACACACACATACTTAACCATAACATACATACATATGCTTTGTAAGTTAACACTAATTAGCAAATATTTTGGGATTTAATAATTTTAGCTATTAAACTTGGAAAAAAAAGTATGTGATTATAAAGATTAAGGATAAAAATCAATTTGAATATATTTGACTGACATTATTTTTATGTGCTAGAAAATATTTCAGTTCTTAAACAGATTTTCACAAGCGTTTTTGCTTCCTAAACCCATGTGATTCCATATGTTCAGGGACAGAAATGATCCCCGGAGCTAGCATTGGAACACTTTTGATATGGTTGACCAGTTTTGTTAAGATTTTCCAGCAATTTTTTACATAAACCTCAAATGTCACTGATGTATAAGACCTCAAATGACCTCGGAACACAATTTCTCAAGCCGTATGTACATTGGCTAATTAGACACTTAATAAACAGTCAGGTATGTACAGTTATTGTGTTGCTAATTAAACCTCTTAAGAAAAAAAAGTTGGTCATAACATACCTTGAAATTTTTTAAATGTCACATACAAAGACATCCTTTGTCACCAGTAGAAAAGAGCATATATGTATGTGTGATTTTCACCTGGGACTGAGGATGATAATACGGAGATATACAAAGTCACTTCTTTTCCTTAAACTTTAAGCATATATAATCTTCATAAATAAATATTTCTCTACATATAGAAATGTCTGCATAAATACATATATTTACATAAATACATGTCTCTGCATAAATATATATATATCTACATCAATGCATGTCTCTGCATAAATATTTATATCTACATAAATACATGTCTGCATAAATATACATCTACATAAATACATGTCTCTGCATAAATATATATATATCTACATAAATACATGTCTGCATAAACATATATCTACATCAATCCATGTCTCTGCATAAACATATGTATCTACATAAATACATGTCTGCATAAATTTATATATTTACATAAATACATGTCTTCATAAATATACATCTACATAAACACATGTCTCTGCATAAATATATTTATATATTTACATAAATACATGTCTCTGCATAAATATATATATCTGTCTGCATAAATATTTATATCGAAATAAATACATGTCTCTGCATAAATATACATCTACATGAACATATGTCTCTACATACATATATATATATATCTACATAAATACATAGATGTCTGCATAAATATACATATACATAAATTCATGTCTGCATAAATATATATATCTACATAAATACATGTCTGCATAAATATATATATATATATACATAAATACATGTCTGCATAAATATATATATCTACATTAACACATGTCTCTGCATACATATATATATATCTACATAAATACATGTCTGCATAAATATATATATATATATCTACATAAATACATGTCTGCATAAATATATATATCTACATAAATACATGTCTGCATAAATATATATATCTACATAAATACATGTCTGCATAAATATATATATATATATATATATACATAAATACATGTCTGCATAAACATATATATCGACATAAACACATGTCTCTGCATACATATATATATATCTACATAAACACATGTCTGCATAAATTTATATATTTACATAAATACATGTCTGCATAAATATACATCTACATCAATACATGTCTCTGCATAAATATATATATCTACATAAATACATGTCTTCATAAATATACATCTACATAAACACATGTCTCTGCATAAATATATTTATAAATTTACATAAATACATGTCTCTGCATAAATATATATATCTGTCTGCATAGATATATATATCGAAATAAATACATGTCTCTACATACATATATATATATATATACATAAATACATAGATGTCTACATAAATATACATATACATAAATTCATGTCTGCATAAATATATATATCTACATAAATACATGTCTGCATAAAAATATATATCTACATAAATACATGTCTGCATAAATATATATACATAAATACATGTCT